TCCACCATTGAATACAATTGTACAAATATTAGAATTTTGAAAGATCTCAAATGATAATTTAACTTGGTGTTGAATTTTTACATACAATTCAGTTTCCACCAGAGGCGATTCTAAAAATTAATGGCGCGGGGGGGTACACTATAACTAGGCGCCAAGATTCAGTAAAAAGGCATAGGTATTTAAAGTAATACTGTATTTCTCATTAGGAAAAGAAATAATATCACAAAACTATAATAAGAAAATATTACAATACATATACAAAAACAAAACAACAATATGATACTATTTCCACTAATAATAAACCATAAACCCAAACTTCAAATCAACCCAGACTTCAAAATAGTTATTGTTTACAATTAACAGTAGTAAACGTCTTCTTTTTATATTTTTAAATTCGTCCAGTACGACAGAAAAATCTATGTTTTATGAATAATCCGATTCAATGCTCAATAATGCCAAATTGTTCAACATTTGTTCGCCTATTGTAGATCTAACATAGGTTTTAATATTTCTATTAACACGCTTTTATTAGCTTCTCCTGTATGTTTGTTTGTAACTATCAAGCTCGCGATTTGTTTTGACAGAATTATCGACATTATTGCTTGATCTATTCGCGGGCAGATGGTGCTGTACGTAACCTCCTTGGTATAATTCGAACTCACTTTACATGCATTTCTTCATTCGAAAAAAGTATTTTTTCATCAATAGGCGCGCCTGCTGGCTTATTTGTAACCCTCTTTTGCGCGCCTGCTGCCTTGGGCTTAGTAGCTGATTTTCAGGCTTTTTCTCCGGAAAGGCTGATTGATCCTGAAGTTTCGATAAAATAAATATGGTTTGAAAAGACTAAAAAACACCCTTTTATAGCATACGAAACTGAAACATGAAATATAAATAACGTTTGAAAAACTAAAAAACTAAAGAACATCGAACTAAACAGTTAAAAATAATTATATTAAAGCGTGTGCGCTTTGTGCCATATTTTTTGTATATCAAGCGCCCGATTTATTCAATCTACTGTTTTTACATTAATTTGATTATCTTCAAGGTCTTTGAATAATAAACAAAAATATTGGTATTCAGCAATTACTTCAATCGCATTTGAAATATCAGATTTATAAAATACGCTGAGCTCTAGTGAACAGCGTAAGTTATCTTCTGAATTTGAAATGTGTTCACTATCTAAACAAATATATTTGTTCGAAATTTTCATGAAGTCTTCAAATCTATCATCCATTGTTTGAATGAATGTGTCCAAAGAAACATAAAATACGGTTGTTTTAAATTGTTCACGAGGGCAGCTTTGCACATAATCTTCAGCGGTTTCTTCAAAAAGTCGTTATGTTCGTTTAATGCATCTTATTATTTTGAATTCTTCAGTAGT